ATTTCTAGGCTACTAATCAAATCTCTGACAATGATCATGTTATTATCAGATGTTTCTTTCATTGAAGCTCAAGATGATCTTTGGATGATTCTCAAATCATGCTGGGAAAAACAGACACATGTTCACAAGTGGACTCAGACTTTGGACCTCACTGTAGGTGGTTAAGAGCGGAGGAACTGTATTAATATTAGCGACTGATCTATAAGCACGTGCAGTGTGAGTAGTCTGTTGTGTGGGCTGCATGTGTGGGTCATTGGATGCCAAACGCCGCCTCCATCGGTGAAATATGTGTAGTGTGAACGTTAATGGAGAAGATGGCATGGCTAAGTAGATCAAACTGTGGATCAAACTGTACACACAGATGGCATAGACAGAGCATTTCTACAATGCAGTACATTTTCGTTGCCTTAATCTATAATTTTTCTTCGATATTAGATATATTGAAGATATTAGACATATTAGTAATCACAAGTAATTAGTAATCACACAGTGAATTACTTATTTTATTTCAGCTAGTTCAGCAAAAAATTATTATTATTTTTTTTTTCATTTTTGTTTAGTTTAAGTTGAAGTATCAAAATAATTAAAAACTAAATAAACTAAAGCCTATTAAAAACTATATAGACATGCTTTTAAAAAACAAAAACTACTAAAAATGAAAACAAAACTACTAAAACATTAACAAAAAAAAAAAATCTAATTAAGCACATAAACAAAAAATAAAGTACAATACTATATAAATTATACTAAAATAACACTGGTATTAACAAGGGATTTGATGAAATCTGTTGTTCTGTTATGTTCTGTGCATCAATAATCAGAATCAGATAACCTTTATTCGTGTGCAATAAGTGCACAAATAAGTAAGATTAAGAATAAAAATAGTAATAAAAATAATATACTATACATGTATATGGAGTAAGAGGAGTAAATGGAGCAGAAGACTTCCAGTATGCATAGATGTACACATTATAAGTGTAAACTGTATAAAATAATAATATTTTAAATATATTTACTTATAAAAACGGTATACATATAACTATTAATTGGCTTGTTTGACTCTAAAACAATCCCTTGTGGCTGATACTGTACAGTTACAGAAAATAGTATGATAATATCAATATTGTCAAAGGTATAGAAAAATATCAAATGCATGTCAACTCTCAGTAATTACTGAGAAATATCTAAATTTAGCTCTTAATTTCCATCACCTTGTTAAATTCTTGCCATTGTATACATAATCAAGTTGTAATTATTAAAATTTAAGTTTCTGAAAGTCTGGTCCCTTTATAGAAATACTAAATTATGACACAAGTATATTTGTTTTTTCAAATGTTACCAAACTCAAAAGGTACTGCATAACAGGAATGACTCAGATGGTATAGTTACGTAAGAGCCTGTAACATCACATAATATGCACATGGTGTATATGGTTGGATGCGGGCTTCATACCTCTCATGGTCGGTGGCGTGTAGACGCTCTGTTTCCTCTGGGCTGGAGACAGCTGGGCACTCTGGGCCTGGCGTGGACAGTGGAAAAGCAGAGCGTGAGAGAGGGGATCTGATTTCACGCAGACTCTATTTCAGGAGCTCTGCTCCAGCAGGTAATCAATGGCAACTGCATCAGAGCTCCATCCATCTCATAGCAAAGCCCTCCGCTGAGCATCTTAGCATAGAGACCTCTGCAGAGAAGCAGCCAGAGGCTTAGCTTACATACCGCCACGTCCACTAAGACGGCTGAAAAGAACACTGTGTGATGTAATTGCCACATATACAGAAAAACATATCCATATAAGGAATAGACTTCCTGGCGACAGAGGCTGAACCCCCCTTATAAATCAGCACAAACTCCTTTACCTTGAATATTGGTTAAGAGACATTCAAACACCATACAAGAGAGAGAGAGAACAGATAGAGGAGGGGTGATTCAGAGAAGGAGAGAGAAAGAGACAGAAAGGAGGGGGGAGGCATTCTCAAAACAGAGAGTGTTTTCTAACAGACACTGCTGTGATTTAGGTTATAAAGGCATAAATGCTCAGTACATATCAAACGATCTGTAATAACAGACAAAGCAATAGTGATCACATAATAAAAACAGTTACTCATACTTGTGTGGTGCGACATTACTGTCGGATACAATAAAGTCAGCACAGAATCGTCTTTCAATTTCAGTCTTTCAGAAAATCTGGCGTTGAATTGTGTCTTGTTTGTAAACGAATCCGCTGTGAAATGAAGTGAACAAATGACCTTTTACTGACGTGGTCTGGAACTTTATTAAAAATAAAGCTAACCACTCTTTCCTGATGTTGGGATCAGAAGGAAGGCAATGCAAAGACTGCGTTTTTCCACAGCTTGACACGGCACAGTGTCTAGTTGTCTTTGGAGCATCTTTATCTTAAGTTTCTGCGTAGACCTGCGTTCGTCTCTCTCGTTATTTACACTACGTGCGCAAATTGGTGGGCGGAGCTAAACAGGCAGTGATGTAGAAGCAGGCGCTGATCTTCTTCTGCGAAGGCGGGGTTTAGAGCGGGACATTCCACAAGCTGTCGTTTTGGCAGATTGGCTTCAATATAAGCTGTTTTTAGACTAATGAGAAAGTTTTGAGTTATGAAACCTACAGGATGATTTTATAGTATGATATGTCAAAAGATCAAGGGAATTTAGATTTCTCAGTTCATGACCCCTTTAATTTAAAGGGAAAACAAGTTTTCATATCCCATTAACAGATATTTTTTCTTGTTTTAAGCATAAACTCACTTAATTTTGGTGAATTTCTCAGGAAACAGGTCTTCATATCTTCATTTTGCATTTCAAGTAAAATTATCTTAACTTAAGGATGTTTAGATTTTGGAAGATATTCATTTTTAGCAATGTATGCAACATTTAATGCCATGACTTTATGAATTTAAGACTTTCTGCTCATTTAAGTCCTTTTTAAGGCCTTAATTTGTGAAAGGTTGAATTAAGACTTTTAAAGACATTTTTCAAGACCCGTAGAAACCCTGAGTGGAAACCCCACAAGAAAAGAGATACCGTGGCCACATATACACTGAAAAGTTTTAGGAGTGAGAGAATCATAACAAAATTGGATTCACAGTTGTTGGCTTACCACAAACAGTGTATAAACTGCATAAACACAAATAAATCATACATAAAATAACTGCAGCTGTAAATCAGGAAGGAGTGAACACTAAATGAAGTTCTAACTATTTGATAGCAAAACTAAAGAATCAAAAATTAAAATGAAATCTGAAAAGCAGTTCACTTGATGCATTGCATTGATCTGTGAGAAGTCTTTACTTTGAATTAAGTCGCTGCTTAAAATGGACAAATATTTCAAATTAAAATAAAAACGCTTTTTAATGAAGAACTATGAATGGACACAGGCAGTGTATTATATCATGTACAGTGGGTTTAAAGTCTGAGACCACATTGAAAATCTGGTATTCAGAATTTAATTTAAACCCATAAACATACAAATGTTTGGGATTCTTAAATATTAAAAACAACGAAACATTCTAAATAAGAAATATTTGAAATTATGCATTATTTCTAGGCTACTAATCAAATCTCTGACAATGATCATGTTATTATCAGATGTTTCTTTCATTGAAGCTCAAGATGATCTTTGGATGATTCTCAAATCATGCTGGGAAAAACAGACACATGTTCACAAGTGGACTCAGACTTTGGACCTCACTGTAGGTGGTTAAGAGCGGAGGAACTGTATTAATATTAGCGACTGATCTATAAGCACGTGCAGTGTGAGTAGTCTGTTGTGTGGGCTGCATGTGTGGGTCATTGGATGCCAAACGCCGCCTCCATCGGTGAAATATGTGTAGTGTGAACGTTAATGGAGAAGATGGCATGGCTAAGTAGATCAAACTGTGGATCAAACTGTACACACAGATGGCATAGACAGAGCATTTCTACAATGCAGTACATTTTCGTTGCCTTAATCTATAATTTTTCTTCGATATTAGATATATTGAAGATATTAGACATATTAGTAATCACAAGTAATTAGTAATCACACAGTGAATTACTTATTTTATTTCAGCTAGTTCAGCAAAAAAATTATTATTTTATTTTTTTTCATTTTTGTTTAGTTTAAGTTGAAGTACCAAAATAATTAAAAACTAAATAAACTAAAGCCTATTAAAAACTATATAGACATGCTTTTAAAAAACAAAAACTACTAAAAATGAAAACAAAACTACTAAAACATTAACAAAAAAAAAAAATCTAATTAAGCACATAAACAAAAAATAAAGTACAATACTATATAAATTATACTAAAATAACACTGGTATTAACAAGGGATTTGATGAAATCTGTTGTTCTGTTATGTTCTGTGCATCAATAATCAGAATCAGATAACCTTTATTCGTGTGCAATAAGTGCACAAATAAGTAGGATTAAGAATAAAAATAGTAATAAAAATAATATACTATACATGTATATGGAGTAAGAGGAGTAAATGGAGCAGAAGACTTCCAGTATGCATAGATGTACACATTATAAGTGTAAACTGTATAAAATAATAATATTTTAAATATATTTACTTATAAAAACGGTATACATATAACTATTAATTGGCTTGTTTGACTCTAAAACAATCCCTTGTGGCTGATACTGTACAGTTACAGAAAATAGTATGATAATATCAATATTGTCAAAGGTATAGAAAAATATCAAATGCATGTCAACTCTCAGTAATTACTGAGAAATATCTAAATTTAGCTCTTAATTTCCATCACCTTGTTAAATTCTTGCCATTGTATACATAATCAAGTTGTAATTATTAAAATTTAAGTTTCTGAAAGTCTGGTCCCTTTATAGAAATACTAAATTATGACACAAGTATATTTGTTTTTTCAAATGTTACCAAACTCAAAAGGTACTGCATAACAGGAATGACTCAGATGGTATAGTTACGTAAGAGCCTGTAACATCACATAATATGCACATGGTGTATATGGTTGGATGCGGGCTTCATACCTCTCATGGTCGGTGGCGTGTAGACGCTCTGTTTCCTCTGGGCTGGAGACAGCTGGGCACTCTGGGCCTGGCGTGGACAGTGGAAAAGCAGAGCGTGAGAGAGGGGATCTGATTTCACGCAGACTCTATTTCAGGAGCTTCGCTCCAGCAGGTAATCAATGACAACTGCATCAGAGCTCCATCCATCTCATAGCAAAGCCCTCCGCTGAGCATCTTAGCATAGAGACCTCTGCAGAGAAGCAGCCAGAGGCTTAGCTTACATACCGCCACGTCCACTAAGACGGCTGAAAAGAACACTGTGTGATGTCTGATACCGTGATGTTGGAGACAGGAGTGAGGGAGATCCAATCTAATGCTCATTTTAAGTGCTAGGGTTAATCTATCTTCTCTGCTATTGCTTTAGATACTCACTTCTGTTTGACTGCTTGTAGTCTGCTTGTCATCTCCTGAAGGGGAAAAAAGAACAGAGGGACTTACTGCTAATACCATTTCAGTGCTTTATAAATGCAGAAAATGTAGATACGAAGAATTTTTAAAATAATTTTTGCTCTCAAAGCTTATGTAGCGCCTTGAGTTTGAATCTGTAATCTCTTCATGAAGTGTTTGGAGCCCATAGTGGTCTATGGACTCCAAATGAATTGATAAAATACTGGAATATTCTTATAAACTTTTTTTTTTTTTTAAATAGTAGATTTTGCAGTGAGGACCTGGAACATTTGCAATCTGGTATTAATTGGAAGGTTGTTATTGCTGTAGCTTCAATAAAACAGAATCATCAAATTGTTCATTTTAATTTTGTCGCAGATTTTATTTCACACAAAAAGTTTTCTGATAAAAGATATCAACAATTCTGTGTTTTTCTGTCAATATGGGGTGCTGTGTGTACATTAATGAGGAAAAAAAAATTACTTAAATGATTTTAGCAAATGGCTGCAATATAACAAAGAGTGAAAATTTTAAGGGGGTCTGAATACTTTCCGTACCCACTGTAAAATGCCTGTTCTGTATTTGAATATATTATTATTATTTCGTTCTTGCTGTGATGCTAAGCTGAATTTTTAGCATCATTACTCCAGTTTTCAGTGTCACATGATCCTTCAAAAATCATTCTAATATGCTGATTTGCTGCTTAAAAATATGATCAGTTCTGAAAATAGTAAAATGTTGAAACTGTTATACTTTTTTCCCCAGGATTATTTGTTGAATAGAAAGGTGAAGCTGATCTTTTGTAACAGTATAAATGTCTTTACTGTTACTTTCGATCAATCCTTGTGAAATAAAAGCCATTTTATGACAAAAAAAACATACAGATATATTCCATCATCAAGTCACATTAGAAAATCTTCAAATGTTATTGCACTGAAAATATCAAAGTTGCATTTATATTGAAGAAATATGCACAGGATTCCTGTGTGAACTGACTTCATACATGCACTAAAATCAACTTGATTAACTGCAAAAATGGTTTAAAACTGTGAAGTTAGTTATGGCAAACTAATTTGCTTGCTATTTGGATTGATAATGAAATTCATATATTTGGAGGGCCACTGTATACAGTATATTTAACTTATACTGAATTATTTTAGTATGTAGTCTGTGTTTTGTATTGTACATTTATACAATGAAAACTATTATGTACTGCGAGGACTGTATGCACCACTACTGGACTGGTGTTACACGTGTTTAAAGAGGAAAGAAGACTTTAAAAGCCCATGATTTCTCTTAAAGCCACTGAGCATCTTTATTCCCTCACCTAAAGCAAAGGCTGGATTATGATTTTAGACCTTAGACGTTAAGTAAAATCAGAGGCACACAGTGAACCACAGTAGCCAGAAGAGCTTTCTGCATTTATGGGCCCACTGGCTCCACACACGAGGACCTTATTACAAAGACGTATTGCACAAAACGTCCCTGCCAAAGCCACAGGTTCTGCTCCATGAACACTGGACCAAATTACCATTCTAACAGCAACAAAAACCAAGCCAGTCTTCAACTTCATCTTCTGCTCGCGGATACATGGTGCCCAGTTTATGACAAGCAGCAATCGTGTGACGCAAGTTCATAAAGCTTCAAAAACTTTCTTTATAAAGGACCTATTCCAAGTGTTTTGGATCAGAGGAAGAAATGCCAGTCAAACAAAGAGGTGCTTGTTTTGTGAATGCAGCTCTGTGCATCCCACCTCCTCAACACGCCCCTGCGATCTACATCCAAAATCAGCAAGGAAAAATAAGCAGCCGTTCTCCGTGCACAACCACAACATTACAACAACCACCCAGCGATCGTCGGCATCAATCAGGAAAAACAAACAGCTCTGAAATTAACAGCACTTCCCAGTCATTTGTCAGGTTTGAATGGCTTTGCTGGAGAGCATGTCATCTCTGTTGAGTAAGACCTGGCAACCGTCGGGAGACAATAAACGCTCTTAGTCAAGGGAAGCTTGTGAGCTCATAACAAGGCCCTCTTCTCAAGCAGAACTGGCAGATGGCAATGCTGGCTCCAGCGAGAGGGTTTGGTTAAGCTTTATCGTGAAAACCAGTCGTCTCTGCCAAGTCAAACACTAGAGTATGGGCACATTTGATCTCTGTGAGCTTCCAGCCAAGACTAGTCCTGAAAACTCAGATGAGGTGGATAATTTGCTATGTTTATTCACTGATATTGAACCATTTGTGAAGACACTCTGACACTGGATGTTTGAGATTATATACAGTCAGTATAGAAAATAATCACATTTTGTTGCTTTGCGTCCTGAAATGCCTGAAACAGTTTTTGATTTATTCAGCTGTATTTACTCAGTGCAACTTATAACATCCAAGTGAAAGATATAACACCAACATGTCAGAAAAGAAAACAGTATCACTGAGTTGGAAGAAGTGTCACCCCCTCCTAAAAATGACTTGTAAACTCAGGTGTAGCTAATCACCTTCTCTAATGGCACACAAAGCCATTTGACTTTCAACTGTGATCAGCTGTGTTCATTTTGATTAGCTCAGCATGAAAAGAGCTTTCCTGGAGCATTTTTAAGTCCTTGGTAGTGCAACTGAAGCAAACAATCAATTATGGGTGGGTATAGATCTCTGGTATAAAGTTGTGGACTGGCACAAATAAAAAAATTCAAAGTCTATAATTAAGAAGTGGAAGGTGTCTGGTACAGCACAGACCCTCCCTAGATCAGGACATCGCTCCAAACTGTATGAAAGAGCAGGAGGAAACTGGTCAGAGAGGCGCCCAAGAGGCCGACAGCAACTCTGAAGCAGATGCAGGAATTTATGACAAAGAGTGGTCATTGTGTGCATGTGACAATATCACAAATTCTCCACAAACGTGGCTTGTATGGGAGGGTTGCAAGAAAAAGGTCACTCCTCAAGAAAGGCCACATGCAGTCGCGACTGAGCTTTGCCAAAAAGCACCTTGAAGATTCTGTGGCAGAGATGACTAAAATTTAATTATTTGGCCTCGACACCAAACGATATGTCTGGCGGAAATCCACAACAGCTCACTATTCAAATAACAGCATTCCTACAGTAAAGCATGGAGGTGGTAAAGTCATGTTATGGGGTGTTTCTCTGCAGCAGGACTGGAGCACTTGTCAGGATAGAAGGAAAAATGGATGGGGCAAAATACCGTCAAATTCTTGAGGAAAATCTGCTGCCCTCTGCCCGAAAGTTGTCAATGGGAAAAAGGTTTACCTTCCAACATGACAATGACCCAAAGCACACAGTGATTGAAGGAGAAAAAGGTGAATGTCCTTGCATGGACTAGTCAGAGCCCAGACTTAAATCCAAGCGGCAACCTCCCGCTCTCTCTCGTGAAGCCAACACGGAAGTGACTTAAACTCTAATTCGTCAACTGGCCGCTAGAGGCTGGCTGCAAAAGGGAGTCAATCCCATAAATTCCCCATGTTAAAATGTCCAACTTTACAGCAGAAAAAAAACATGTTTACAGCCTGGTTCAAAAAAAGATTTTGGTCTATATAGTTAATTTTGCCCTTCATGACAACTGTGAGGGGGGTGATTTATTAATTTTTTTATAACTCATCTGTTTAAATCATATTAAGCCTTAAAGTTCTGCGTAATTAAGGGTGTGGCCACTTGAGTGACAGGTGGATTGCCGCTGCTGACACTGCCGTCGAGCTAGGTGGGTGTGGCTTCAGCAACCAGCTCCCACCTTTTTGCCCATTTTTGATTATCCGGGAGTGACGCGCGGTGACGCGCTTCCAAGATGGCGACTGCCCGCTCCGCCCACTTTGAGCTTCAAAAACACTCTTCAGAGAACTACGGGTGACGTCACGGACACTACGTCCATGTTTTTATGCTTAAACCCCACTGAAAATCTGTGGAATGACTTGAAGACTGCAGTCCGCATACGCTCACCATCACATTTAACTGAACTTGAGCAGTTTTGCACAGAAGAGTGGGCAAATATTGCAAAGTCTAGATGTGCAAAGTTAGTAGAGAAAGAGACATATCCCAACAGACTAAAGGCTGTAATTAAAGCAAAAGGTGGTTCAACAAAATACTGACACAAAGGGGTGATCCTTTTTCCAACTCAGTGATTCTGTTTTTTAAATTTGTTTCTGACATGTTTCACTTGGATGTTATAAGATGCACAGCTAAGTAAATACAGCTGGATAAAACAAAAACTGTGTCCGTCTCCATTTTAGGCTGCAAAGCAAAAACATGGGATTATTTTAAAGGGGGGTGATTCTATAATATAATAATAATACATAAAAACATTACTATGTAATGACAAAAGGAAAAGGTGGGAAAAATATATACCTGTTTGATAATGTTTCACAGATTTGTCTCTCTTTATGTAAATACGGCCATATATACATATCACGGAAGAAGCAGCACCCAAATATGTAAAAACCTCTGAACATGTTGAACAGATTAATTCAAAACAGTTCCTTGATGCATAGAGTAAACTTGATTTTACAGTTCTGTGGCCTGTTTTGTCCCAGTTCTCAAGAATCACTGATGTCTGACCTCAAAGTAGCCAGCACATTTAAACAATTCACTGTCACAACATGAGCATATGACATTATATGCCTCTGTAAAATTCTTCTGCCTTCAAGTGCTTCTGGGAAGTTCCAACTTACAAGCTTGGAAGTCATAATTACGATGTGATGCGTTATAGATTTTTGGTCTGAATAAATTGGACGCATTGAGCAATTTCATATTTCATTCTCTCTTTTCACTTGACAAGCACAGGAAGCGTTTTTAGTGCTAATGCAACACTGAAGATCAAATGATGCACATTAGGTGTGGAAATTATGCTTTATCTGTGTATTTGATCATTTTCATGCTGCCACAGAGAATTATGGGAAGTTTTGTCCCACAAGCCTGGTGCCTCATAAACGTGGCTAAATGAGTAGTGCTGTCTGGCACGTCTCATCAAAATGTGAACAAAGTCAATTATACAAACCACATTTACAATTAAAAAGTAATTATAAATGATACCAATTAGCTTCCACCTTCATTCTTTAATTTCCAAGCAAAAACATTGTGATGGCATTCATGTGTGCTCAAATCGTGATCATTCTGACATGACTTGGCAGCATTTGTTTAGACTCTGGAATGATTTTTCTACATTTACAGAGCCAAAAAAACAGTTTCTTGTGTGGGCTGTTGAGTGGGATTAGGGTTGAGGTTACCATGTTTACTGATGACGCTAATGTGCTGGCATTTCCCTCAACCTTATTGATTCTGCTTGCATGTGGAAAACATATGAACTTACTCAGCATAATGTAGGTTTGAAAAGAAAAATCTTGAGGTGAAGACCACATGAATGTTCCATGCAAGTCTTAAGGAACAGCTACAGTATGTAAAGCCAGTTTCTCACTTTTAAAATGTTTAAAAAGGTAATCGTGAGTTTAAAATAAGAAATTAAGTGAGATATAATGACACTGTAAGATTTGCAATTGTGATATAAAAAGTTGCAATTACAGTATGAGAAAAAAGTTGCAATTGTGGTTAGCAGTGTGTGGTCACAACCACCATACAATGATAAAAGTCCAATCACTACTTTTTTTAATCCCCCCAAAAACCCAAACAGTCTCAATAATCAAGCTGTTTTGATTTTCTGAGCAATATGATGTCATATTGCACAAGCCCCACCCACAAGTACTGACGGACTATCCCGTATTAGCATATCTCCACCCTCAGCCAGTTATACGCTGTCCGGCATTTTCTCCTCGCTCGAGCAGCTGTAGCGAAAAGACTCTAATGCAATGCAGGTGTTTTCAGTTGGATGCAAAAGTGAACATGAGAGTCTTCATTTTCTCCCGACATGAGAGCCACTGAGGACGCGGTGGATTACTTTTGTTTTTGATGGTAATGCACCACCGAATACGCCTAAATTCGTTTATGTTTGTGCAAATCATTTTACTCCAGACTGCTTTCTGAACGAGGGACAATTCAAGGCAGTTAAAACTCAAGGATGGATCAGTACCCACTGTTCATGATCCAGCTGCACCTCCAGAAGAAGTAAGGCTCACACTGCGAATCGCCTTTCCTCTTCCACGGAAGAGAGGGGCGGGGTGAGCAGAGCTCATTAGCATTTAAAGAGACATGCATCGAAATGGGTCGCTGTGATCAGAGCTGTTTTTGACAAGGTAAAAAGGGTGATGTTTTACATGACCACTGAGGAATTTTAACCAAAGTATGTTGCAGACAGTTCATGAAGACCCTAAAGAATCATATCAATTTGTGGAAAATGGGCATCCGATATCCCCTTTAAATGTCACATTGTTAGATATGAAGTCATCTTGAGAGATTTGAAGTCACACTGAGAGCTATAAAGGCACATTGTGGGATGTAAAGTCACAATTCCTATTTTATTCATTCTGAGGCGAGAACCGGCTTCTATATTAACCTTCCAAAGTGTCATTTGCAGATAGCACATATAATTGAATCTCAGCTAAATACGTCCCATCCATTTCCCAAATAACCCTGAATTCCACTCATAGATAAGCCGCATCGTTCTACATTGGGGTTAAACTGAAAGTTCACCCAGAAGAGACAACGCTTGAAATAGATGACAGAGCTGTAGAGCGATGGTCCACACAGCCTGTCCGCTCGCATATGCTGACGCCATAGGTGGGTTGTTTGTGCTGATAGAAGCCTGTTGACCGTTGCCACATTCACACCGTGTTGTGCTGTTCCGACCCAAGGCTAGATTACAGACACTCCAATGTGAAATGACCTCATCAGACCTATCAAGTTGTCCTTTAAACCAGAAGAGCACATTTCCTCCCGCAATATCATATAATGATTCTACATGAGAATTGGAGAGGGCCTATTTTCATAACAATACAGAAACCCACGGCTTTACGTAAACGATAGCAGAAATTCAAAAGAAATACGCCACAGCTGAAATCGAACCTTGAAAAACACCTCCAAATGATGCACAAATAGACCAAATCTTGTTTGTTTTTGAAAAGAACAGTCATGAGGTCTAGTATTAATGCATTAGGGATGCTGATGCCAGTTAACCAAAGCAAATGTATAGCGTTAGAGATTTGCTCAGTGAGAGAATACTGAAAACTTTACCCTAAAGTTACTGCTTAATGAGGGACAGACCGTTCACTGCAGATTCTTATCTTAATTTAGATACAGAGCAGGGCTCTAGTTCAATAGCGCCTTGTTGGCTGAACTAGCCCTTTCAGTGACTACAATGAAGCATCAACTTGTTTAATGATTTAAAGCTCTTACCTGATGCACTGGGCTCATTGTAGATGACCAAAGTGGCTGGAGTTGGTCTGCGTTTGCGAATCTGAAGAGAGAAAAAAACCCTATAATAATTATACTGTCATTAACAAAAGTATTGTGGAGGTAGTAAAACCCATTTAACCATGGTATAATCACTATGATACACATCCTTGAGTGGCTTATTGGTTTAATTTAATACAGCGTCCTGCTGGAAAAACACCAAGCTTAAGCTGGTTTTAGCTGGATTAAGCTGGTCCCTCAGCCTGACCAGTAAGAAAATGCCCCAAAACCACTCTAAAATGATATACATTTATATTGTAGTTGTAGTATTGCCATGGTACTTTTTAATAACAGATGGAACACGGGCGTAAAATGTTCATGCTGACTGATTTACCCCATGTGTCCAGACACCAGCATTTGTTGGGTGATTCACTGGGGTCAATGCAATCAATTCCCTGAAGAAGGCTGCTGGGTTTAGATCACATTTAGCCTTACAACATGCTGTCTCAACACGTGTGAAACAGCATGAGCTTACACTCAACAATGTAGTCCACCTCCATGCGGTTAGAAATATGCCTGAACATCAGAGTCAATTTTATATGAAATAAGAGATGAACCTGTAAGAATTACCCAGAGTGTGAGAGAGATTCAAGAGCCATCACTTGACCTATCGAGCCAGTACGGCATTTTCGCATCAACGTTTGTTGATCATGTACAGCTGTTATCAAGCCACAGCCAACTCACTAGTTGCACGACTATAAGTTTCTCATGACCTTACTGGATGCTGCTGAATTATATGAGGCCGGAAGGTAACATAACATTATCTAGCTTGGTTTTATGAAAATGGCCAAAGCTGGGCAAAAACTACTATGCTACAAAAAAAATTCTAAGCATCTTGGATCTGCTTGAAAACAAATGCATGAAGCGAAGTACTAAAAGTACTTCTCCTCAGTGGTATAGTACAATCGCTCCTTCAGCTGCAGGGTAGGTAACAATCTGAACTACTAGCCTGATTGTGCCAGCACATAAAATCACTGAGCCCTGAACCTGCATCAGTCCAGGTTATTTTATTTATTTATTATTTTTTTTAAAAAGGCTCCAAGAAACAAGAGTGAACACTGATGGAGAACTTACTCAGCACAAGACAGACTGCCACTGATTGGACAAGCCGGCATCATCATAAAATCAGCCTAACACTTTCCGGTTATGACATTGTCAGCAACAGCACCAACATCAAACACTTTTACAGCCGGGCATGAAGCCTCACTGCTGTATCCGGATCCATCAATGAACAGCTCTACTATAGCAGGAACTAGGGCTGCACGATTATGACAAAAAAAATCATAATTGTCAATTATTCCCTTGAAATTGTAATTGCGATTATTAATTATTGTTTTATTACTAAAACTAAAACAATGGTAAACCCTTAAGATAACATGTAGAAAGAAAAAACGCATCTTGAGCACGCAGAATAACATAAGTGGACTTTGAACGATTGTGGCCTCCATAATTGAAATCACGATTAGAAATTCGATTAATTATGCAGCCCTAGCAGGACCACAATAAGAATATATTCTGCTGCACAAACGACAATTTTTACAAAAAACAAAAAAAAATTTTTGCGATGCACGGTCACCCTTTATCACCAGTTCACACTGTTTGAAATACCCCTGTCAAAACATGACATTGTCAGCAACAGCACCAACATCAAACACTTTTACAGCCGGGCATGAAGCCTCACTGCTGTATCCGGATCCATCAATGAACAGCTCTACTATAGCAGGAACTAGGGCTGCACGATTATGACAAAAAAAATCATAATTGTCAATTATTCCCTTGAAATTGTAATTGCGATTATTAATTATTGTTTTATTACTAAAACTAAAACAATGGTAAACCCTTAAGATAACATGTAGAAAGAAAAAACGCATCTTGAGCACGCAGAATAACATAAGTGGACTTTGAACGATTGTGGCCTCCATAATTGAAATCACGATTAGAAATTCGATTAATTATGCAGCCCTAGCAGGACCACAATAAGAATATATTCTGCTGCACAAACGACAATTTTTACAAAAAACAAAAAAAAATTTTTTGCGATGCATGGTCACCCTTTATCACCAGTTCACACTGTTTGAAATACCCCTGTCAAAATAGTCGACAAAAACTAATTTGGCATGTAATACAGTATTTTGAAAGCAAACAGCAAATGTTTCATTCCCTCCTCGCACTTAAGTGCATGCAAAACACAGTTTGTTCAAGTCATTACGGTGGTGTGCATTAAAAAATTACACATTTTCCAAGCACTACAATCCCACTATGCATGACATCATATCATAAAACTGAGTTTGGCAGCAATCTGCACAGATCTGATGCTTCAAGACAGCCTCAAGGGAGCCGAAGAGCAATGCAGGCCAGTCTCCATTAGGCACAATGCAATAAAAGAGCCTCTCTCTACTTACATGCTCGGACGCCTGGGGATCCAACTGGCTCTGGAAGAGCGGAACGGCAAACTGAATTTTCTTAGGGCTGTTGGGCTCCATGCTGAACGAGAGAGCTGATGGAGAGAGAGATGGAGACAAAGTGGACCCTACTTATCAGCCCCTGTGATTTCCTCTCCCTCCTGTATGGCCCGCCTTCCTTTACTCCACGGAGAGACAGAATGAGAGAGAGAGAGAGAGAGAGAGAATGAGCCACACAGACAAATAGCACAACAAATAGTCAGTCTGTCCTTCCCACATCCATGTTGTCCCACTCCCTTTGCTGTGGTCCCGTGTCCCATAAACCTCACAGAAGCAGAGATGGCTGCAGGTCTTCTCAGCGTGAGTTTTCCGACTGCTCCGGGACACGCTCAGATCTCTCTCCGCTTTGCTGTCTCTCTCGCTCTCTCACTCTTTTTCTCTCACTATCATTAGCAAGACTCAGAGCAATGCAATATAAGCCCCCACCGGGGCCTGCTGATGCTCCTACATTATTTATGATCCTGATTCAGGATGCTGTCGGCAGTTTTCGCATCACATGGCCGGATTTCTCTTCATGGACACGGGTAAACTGTGAGACAAGAGAATGTTCTTTAGAATGTATAACAAGCTCGATCACACTGGCACTTCATTTATGGATTTTTAATTATTCAGGGATTCTTGGGAGATGGGAATGATTTACTGTCCTGCTAAAGCAGCCGTTTTATTTTTAGCCAGAGCGGATGTAGTACGAATCAAGGGTTTAAGACAAAAGTGAGGGATGTTTTTGTGTAGTAATATGTAAAATATTAAATGAAGATTCCTATACTTTAGATTAAATGGATTCCATGACATTTCCAGGCATCTGTGACTGGCACAGGGACTTTTAAAATGTATTAAATAAAGATTGCACTCACAAAGAGCAATTTCTAGCTGATGTATATTTTATATTTAGCTGTACTTTCTGAGGCTAGCATCACTATTACTATTGCTATTAGGTTTGGTATATGAACAAAGCTAATATAATTATATATATAATACTTATATATTTTATATATTTATGAGATATATAATATATGATAAAATATATAAATATAAAAATACTTTATATCTACATAAAAGGTACATTAAACTTCAATAGACATCTTCTTCTGTACCATTTAATGACACCTCAAATGATATGGTATATTGAGACAGATGTGTGCTGTTGCGTTTGTAGACTTACAATATTTGCATGGCAGATGATATAGCAGGCATACATAAATTAATGAAAAATAAATTTATAAAAATAATAAAAAAATCACACAGAATATCGCTTTTTTAAGTAACGACCTAGCAACTGCATAGCCGCATTCTAGCAATCGAATGCCAGAATGCCTTAGCAACCACATAGCAATGCCTTAGCAACCAACCACAATTCCCTTTGTGCCACTTACAAAATGTTAAAATGTAGTTTTATATATTAATATTTTAAAGTTAAGCATGATTAGAATGCATATTAGCATATTACATTCACTTTTCAGGCATGAAAATCATAATATTAAAATACCCAATTGCATTGTTTTGTGGATAATGAAAGTAAATTGTGGTGTAATATTAGGTGTAATAGTTCAAAGACCATGTATTGATCCTAACCGTAACCCAGGACAGACGCTACCTACTGTATGCTGTTTGTTCGGGTCACTGGACATCTGCCAATGAGATAACTGCTATTGATCCACCTGCCTGCTTTGAAATAGGTCATTAGTCTGCAGCCTGTCTAAAACACAACCTGAAGGGGGAAATGGAGATATTTCTGCAAAATTATAACTAATAGTCATAATAAATGATAAAAACAGTTGGTTAAATTTTCTTAAACATATTATGATGGTAGGCTCCAGTGTGCAGCTAAAACTGAATTGCAAAATGTAAAAATTGCTTTTAAAAATAAATATCACTTTATTATTTTAATAAAACAATTTTTTTTTAAATAAAATAAAATAATAAATAAAAAAAATACTGCATTAAATAGGTCAAAAGTGATGGGAATGTTATTGATATTTATTTATGGGAAGGTATTTGTATTTAAAAAAATTTATACATAAAAACATTTTTATGTATACATTTTTTATTTTTTTTCCATTTAACAATTGGTTTGTTTTTATAGATTACTTTTTTAAAATTGCTTATTTATTCCTTGATTTTTTACTGGAACTCTACTCTTCCATAAAAACACCAGAAACATAGCAAAACAAATTGTTCCGTAACAAGGTGTTTTCTATTTTTTTCCGCTTGTTAACTAGATTCAACAAATAGTATATTATAGTCAGGAGTCAGCTGGTGTAACCTGAGGTTAGTCTGGGAAAAAAGAGGGAGTGTAAGAATCCTGAAGAAACAAATGAAGAAATCAGGCCACTCTGTTCACCTCTGGAACAAACAGTACCAAACCACCTGACCTGATGCATGTTTACACCCTGTCTTCACTGGCGCCCATTTACAGGTTAAAGCTTGACCTAATGACCCTCATCATCAGGAGCAGGTAATGCCAGGGAGGAAACTACTGGAGCTTAATGAATGTCACAGGGCGGAGGAGGCACAAAACAGGCACTGTTTATTACCCACGCTCTGTTGTGCAAGATTCAACAGATATGGTTTTATTTCACTGCAAGCGCAATTAATCTAAACAGCAGAGGTTTGTGTCACACAAGCTGTCAAAATTATTATGCATTGAGGTTTGATGTTCAAGAACACACAAGGACAAAAGTACAGCCATGTCCTTGTGTTCATGGGTGTTTGCCTGAAGCAAGAGGCCGAGAGATGAAGAAAAGTGGGATTGAGCGGTCAGGAAACATATCCAGCACCCTCTCTTAGACGTGACGGCAAGTGAAATTCAATAGTGCCTGTAATTAAGTTAATTTTCCCTGACTACTCAGTCTGTCTCCTCTGTAGACGAGCACAAAACACCTTTATGCTGCTGTACTGGACACAGCTGAGCTGTTCTAACAGTTGAAAATGAAAATCCCACTCGATCATCAAGTTATTCAAGCCATTTCTGTTATATATCAGTATCCCCCAGGTCTAATGTAGCCTTTTTATTTTAATGGCCGCCCTCTGAATCTATTCAAGCATGCCCACAATATCAAAATCACTCTCCCGCCAACCTTCTATCTCAGAGACGTGTTGCCATGGTAACAGTGGGCCAGATTGAGTTATCAAAATAATTTCTGACCCACAGGTATTTTCATCGTCATACTTGGCTAAACACAGCAGTAGGAGTCTGCCATTAACATTGTTGCCCGCATTAAAAATGTTAAGTGCAAAGGACAAGCACGGTCAGGCCTGAAAGAGCAGAGTTACTGGAAAAAATGTAGCCTGGTTCAGATCAAGCATTATTGAAATACAGCAAGGTTCTAGTGGGTGCTTATTATTTGGAACCCTTAAAATGTTTTTGTAGAAGCCTTTTAAAGGTTCCATCAGAAAGGTTCTATACATATTAATGCAATTGAATCTTTTAGAGGTTCCAAACATGGAACACACACTACTACTAAACGTTTGTTGGCATGCAATATGATTTGTTTTTTAAGAAATTGATATTTTTATTCAGCAAGGAAACATTGATCAAAGGTGAAAGACATTTATAATGTTACAAAATTCTATTTCAAACAAATGCTGCTCTTTTGAACGTTCTGTTCATCATAGAATCCTGAAAAAATGTATTACAGCTTCTACAAAAATATTAAGCAGCACAACTGTTTTCAACATTGATAATAATAAGAAATGTTTGAGCACCAAATCAGCACATTAGAATGATTTCTGATGGATCATGTGACACTGAAGACTGGAGTAATGATGCTGGAAATTCAGTTTTGCCATAACAGGAATTAATTACAATTTAAAATCTATTAAACTAGAAAACAAATAATTATTTTCAATTGTGTTTTTTCACAATATTACAGTATAGTTTTTACTGCATTTCTGCAGCCTTGGCGAGCATTAGAGACTTCTTTCAAAAACATTTCTTGCAAATCTAACCAATCCCAAGCTTTTGAATAGTTGTGTGCTTTATGGGATGTTTTATTGCCAGATTACTTTCTTGGATCAGCATTATTGTACCCAAGATCAGAATAAGAACATAATTAAACAAGAACCTATATAAAAACTATATATCTCTAAAAATAATAAATAATAAAAAAAATAAAAAAAAATCAATGAATGAAGTTCAACACAAGTGCATGTTTCCTTTCTGGAAGTTACCTGATCAAACACTGTAAATGGATTCCTGGACTGGACAAAATCTTCAGTCACCTCTCAGATCCCAAATACACACTCTGCTTGTTAAACTAATAAAAGATTAAAACATGCTGTGAATAAATGCACTTGATTAGGAAGGCTAATTAACTACTGATGGCACAATAATATATATAAAAAAGTAACATTAGTAAATTTAATTTCAAACTCGTTAATAAAACCAAAAAGGAAAGCACAATATTAATAATAATAATAAAAAGCAGGCATTGTAAATCCACCCTTCAGGAGTTTATGGGGTGAGGCATACCAGAGGGTTTCAGAGCACAAATGCAGTTCATACTTTTATTGAAGCACTTATATGAACTCTTCTTTTCAAACTTGAGTGTTATTAGAGCTGTAAAAGTGTCTAAATCATACAGACAATGTTCCCTCTTAAGCTGCACGCATACGCAAAAAAAACGAGTTGGGAAAGCCATTTGATTGAATTCTAGTAAATGCGAAATAAATGCAATGCTCGGGCAAATCGCTATAGAGTTGGTTTCGCTATAGAGTTAGAACCGGTGATTTCGGTTTACAGAAAAGAGAATGATGTGCGCCAAAAGCTTACAGATCTGTTTAAATGCTTGAGTTTTTTTCTATTCTGTTCTGTTAGTTTAAATGCTTCAGTTTGTTTTTAGATTATATTATAAACCTAATAAATAATTGATCTCAAAAAGGGAATTCATGAGCAATATCTGCTTCATTTTTTTCATATTATATTATATTATGAATGGATTTGTTTCTTACAAACATGCAGCTTTTTACTTCACAAGACGTTAATTGATGGACTGGAGTGGTGTGGATTATTGTTTTTTTATCAGCTGTTTAGACTCTCATTCTGACGGCACCCATTCACTGCAAAGGATCCATTGGTGAGCAAGTGATGTACTGCTAAATTTCTCCACATTTTTTTTCAATGAAGAAACAAAGTCATTTACATCTTGGATGGCCTGAGGGCCAGAACATTTTTAGGAAATTTCCATTTTTGGGTGAACTATTCCTTTAATTCTGCAGTAACCTGGAATATTCAGTATTTTTGTACAGTATAAAGATTGTAAACCATAATACAAACACCATCCACCATCTCCAGGAACACAACCAAAATTATGACTCGGCAAGTATATGTACAAAATAAATAAATCTTTATTAATGATTTCCATTAAAGATTATCCCTCATGCATCCCAAGCGGAAAGGGAACATGTCCCCTTTGTCGCATAAATCAGTTAGTAATACAATTCATTACAGCTTAGATTAAAAAAATAAAAAAAACTCATTCACACTGAGGAAAACTAAGTCGAACACTTTAAATCCTCATCTGAAGATTTGACTATCCACTGCTGTTTGAAGGAAAATAAAAAATATATATTTCATGGGCTTGCTAATGTGTGTGTTTATATAAAGAGAGTTTAGTGCTTTTTCTTCTCACAGGACAATATATTTAAAAATGTGCTTTGAAGTGTCTTAAGTGTCTATACATACAGTATAACAGGAAATGAAGACAGCTGTGTGCAGTTTGAGTAGAACAGTAGTTGTGATTGATCAGTTCAAGTTTGAGAGAAAAAAGTTAAATGTATTGCACAGTTAGTTCCTCACAGAGGCTGAATTAGAAAACAAGTCTGATTCAGTAGACATTTTTGTCCTAGACAGACAAAGACACACTCAAACAGAAAACTTTAGCTACCCACAGCCCTTTTATCCTCTGCAAACATCCAACAAGACCTGCATCACATACTAAAATACATCCCAAAAGATTTATTACATTTCTGTAATATATGTACCAGACGGATACCACAATAAGCCTTGTGCCCTTCGCGGATTCGGACAGTGGAAGATCTCAACCACTGCAAAATTGGAATCTGGACTCAAATGCATGAGCATATTCCCTGTAGCTCTAGTCCAGAAGCAGTCGAGTCTGGAAGGGCTTCACGGACCGAACCAGAGAGAGATGCTGAGCCGTTCTCAGTGCAAAGCTTTAACCAGTGTTCGTTGTGACTATTTCACAGGATTTACTTCTTCACCTGCTGAAGCAAGCAAAACAGAGATATTGATTGAGAAGATTGTTCCAAAACCTAGCGAGTTGCCTGCCTACTGCCTTCTAAAGCATGTACCCTGAGTGTAAAATTACACAGCCCACACAAATAGTGGCTAAACTGCTGATTTTTTTTTGTTGTCAAGTGACAGTAACGATTTCTATTTCAAATAAATAAATCTATCATGGGTTCCACAAAAATCTGAGTTTTAAACACTGATAATAACAAGAAATATTACTATAGCAGCAAATTGGAATGATTTCTGAAGGATCATGTGACACTGAAGACTGGAGTAAAGATGCTGTGCCATCACAGGAATAAATTATATTCTAAAATAGAAAACTGTTTTTTAAACTGCAATAATGTGTCACAATATTACTGTTTTTACTATGTTTTTAATCAAATAAATGCAGATTTTGTAAGGATAACAAACTTTTTTCAAGACGTTAACGTAAACATTCAACAGGTCTGTATTGAGCATAATGTGATCCATCAAAACCAACCTCCATCCTCCGTTATGATGCTCACACAGGGGGCTTCCTGGCTGGGAGAGGAGATCTACGTGGAGACACAGCAGCCAGAAGCTCGTTCACAATCTCCTGCCTGATTTCATGTGTGATACTTTCTTTAATCTGCAGGAGGATGAATAAGAAATGATGTTAGACTGCATTAAAGGTAGGAAAGTCAAAAACTAAAAATATAGAGAGACCTAAAATGCTGCATAGGGACTCGAATCGGTGAATCATTTATCTTAATCTGTTTATTTACATGAACGTTTGGCAAACTACCACTCAAAAGTACTTTCTGGAATATAAGGCATGTATTTATCACCTGAAAAATATATTCCAAAGCGACTCCGTCAAGCATATTTGTGCTGAGTGAAAGTTATACGCAAGCTAGTTTATTTTCAGTTTCGCATGAAATTAATTTGTTTTCTAGAAAAGCGAAACTTTTTATTCTCAAAACAGCTGAACTACGATCATACTGCTGAAAAAAGTTAAGTTAAAACTGCTATTAAAACTCACCTATTTACAATGTTTCTTAATTAATTGCTTGCCTTAATTTTCTGTTCTATGCTTTTGTAACTTATCTTGCATATTGCATTATGCTGTTTATATGTTGTATACTATCTGTTATTTACCTTGTGTAAAGTGTCCTTGGGTGTTTGAAAGGCGCTATATAAATAAAACGTATAATTATTATTACGTTACAACTTTTATTTACTGCCCAAAACTGTTTGAGAATATATATCTATAATCCTGCCATACAGCAACAAGGTCAATTATGTTAAACGATTTCAACAGTTCTCCATATATGAAATCCAAAGAACTGGCAGTGCTGTGCGGGGTCAAATACATATTGATACGCTGGTGAAGAACATCAGGTCTTGTCAGGCTGTTACATCACTCCACAAGCAATGAAATTACCTAGGTGACTACAAGGATCCAATTCAGTCCAAGTTTCCTTCATAAGCATCAGAATTGCTGGACCATCATGACAGTCTAGTAAATTAGCATAAACTGATGCATGATATTTCATGAGCAAATCTGTCAATCATCACACACACCACCAAAAACCATTATGGCTACAAAGAGCTCACACAAACGGTGCCAAAGACACAGTTAAATAGGCTTTTTTCCGCTTTCTTTTGAGATGGAGAAGGAAACAACATGCTGCTTTTTTGTTTGACAGCGTAATTTCTAGATTCTTTGGCAGAATCTAACAGAATTTCATAAGCTTTTTTCTGTCAAGGGGGAAAAAAATCAGACTTTTCTCAGAGTTTATATCTCACAATTCAGATTTTTCTTCACAGAATTGCGAGTTTATATCTCACAATAAAAAAAAATTTCCCCCACAGAAATGTGAGATATACACTCAGAATTGCAGTAAAAATCAGAATTTTTAGATAAATAGTCTTATCTTTAAAAAAAAAAAACTATTCAGATATTTCTTAATATTAGCCGTTGGCATTGCTGTATATTAGTCCTCTCATCTGAGTTCTCCCACCTCCTGTATAAGATTTTGCAGGTCACCATTCCCTCCACTTGTACTCCTCCATTCGGTGGGACTGCAGTCTTCCGTCGTCCTGCTCCTGTGTCCATCCAGTGACATCTCGTCCTCATCTCTGCTCAACTCCAAGGAAGCAAGTGTCATGTTCTGCTCCATCCTCTCTGGAGAAACAGGCCGAGGAATGTCCATTCCAGGCCTTGCAGGGACGGTGGGTGTGAGGTTGAGGGTTGCCCGGTAAACGCTGCCTCTCTGTGGGGAAGGAGAGCAAGACTCAAGCGTTCGGTTGAATCTTCCAGGGCTGGACGCCCTCGACGAGTGGCCTGAACTGAGTGTGGCAGCCTCATATCCCAGTTCAGACTGAAGGTACAATTGCTCCTTCAGGAGGTCTGTCACCTGTATATTCACATACAAGAATTTATAAAGGATGAGAGGAAATTGAGAGTAGAACAAAGCATGCAGATGATATCTGATACAGGACCCTGTGACATGAGAATAATCCACTCACCGGCTCCATGGCCTGCAGTGCTGAAGAATTAGACAGGCTTTCCATGCTGTGACCTCTGTGCATGCCCTGCGAGACACGTATCTCTTACTAAAGGTTAAAAAACATCAACATACACTACCGTTCAAAAGTTTGAGGTCTCTTATGCTCACCAAGGCTGCATTACTGGATCAAATTGTAATATTATTAGTAATATTGTGAAATATCATTACAATTTAAAAAAATTGTTTTGCATTCTAATATATTTTAAAATACAATTTATTCCTGTGATGCAAAGCTGAATTTTCAGCATCATTACTCCAATCCTTCAGAAATCATTCTAATATGCTGATTTGCTGCTCAAGAAATATTTCTGGTCAAGAAACTAGAAAAATTTTGAAAACAGATGTGCAGCTTAATATATTTTTGTGAAAACCATGGTACATTTGGCGATCAGGATTCTTTTATTAATAGAAAAATTCTTTGTGACTTCATAATTGTCTTTATTTTTGATCAATTGTAATGCATCCTTGCTCAGAAAAAGTAATAATTTAATAAAAAACAAAAAAAATCTTCCTGACCCCAAACTTTTAAATGGTACATAACTTTTCACTTGACTAGTGAAAGGTCACGTGAGTGGTGTGACCAAAATTGTATATCACACTGACGGTATGTAACAGTGATAGTTATTTTTGCTGTAAATTTAACTCGACGATGTTTTATGTATTATAGAATTACAATGTAATGTCTGTTCATGGTTATTCCAAATATATCAGGTTCAGTGAAATTCCCATTGGAATTTACATTAAGACTAGTCTGTACTTCCAATCCTGAGAGGGTATAATACAAATTACAGTTTTGTTCTATTCCTTTCTAACATAAATATATTATAGGTAGCATATTAGGTAAATGCTATAACAGCATAATTGCTCATTTCTTATGTGGCAGTTGTTGCTGCAGTCACTGACCATGTGGTGGCGGTAGAGGTTGCTGTGCTGCGAGCTGCTGCGCATCTGTTCATTCAGGGTGAGCAGATGATCTTCCAACTGCAGCTCCAACTCCTGCAGCTCCTGCCTGACTGCCGTCCGCAGTGCTTCAAGATGTTCCGCCTCCCGCCTGCAACATCACAAACCCCAATATAAGATGTAAGGGGGTAAGTTTCACATAGTTTGTTTTTTTCCACAGTCTGGCAAGCAGTCAGTAAATACTTCACAAGTCAGTATTTGAGGCGGCAGCGATCACATAAATTTAAGGTTGATACAGAAAACCAATATTTAGAGTGAAAAATCATTAGCACACTGTAAAATTTCCAACCACCTTCAACTGCCTTACATTTTTTAAGTACAATCAAACTGGCTGTCATTTTAACTTAAATTATATTAAACTGACTTTAAAAAAAACTACTGAATTAATTTGACGAGTTAAAGTAAAGGGAAAACTACATTTAATTTTTTACAGTGCATTTATGATTTGTTCACACATTTTAGGGTCATTTGTTTGAAGACTTATTTATTGCTAAATCCACTTTTTCTCTATGTCATACTGCACAGCCATATTAACAATTAATTTATGGCTATATTCGCCTTTTCTCTGTCAAATTGTACAGGCGTTTAGTATGACAGGAACCGTGGTGCAAACATGTACATAACCATACTTACCACTGCACTTACTGTAGCCTGTTGCATACATACTGTATGGTTAGTTATTTTTATGGGACCAGTCTAATATAAAATTGCGTGAATGAAAAAAAAAAATACATATATATATATATATTCCCTAACATCTTAAGAACACACATTAACATTGACAGTACAAAATACATTTTGCGATCTTTTTTTTTTTTTTTTGCAGACCCCCTGCAGCCCCCTGGTGGTCCTCGGACCCCAGTTTTAAAAAAAACCATACATGCTACAAAAATGAGCTGTTTTTTGTCTTTCTACACCAGAAAATCTCAAAGTGTCTGAGATTTGGTCAAAAGGAGCAAGTGGGTGAAATTTTTCCCTCTGTGGCTTGTGATTTGGGGAACTATGAGTTCCTCACCTCTCATCTGGACTGAGATGCTGGTAGACCATAGACTGCTGTCTCATGAGAGCCAGCTCCAGATCCATCATCTGAGTCCGGAAGACATTCAGACTCCTGCGTCGCATCTGGAGCTCCTGCAGCAAACAGCAAGTCAGCAGGGACAAACATAATAGGGATAAAGACTTCCCAAAAACTCTTGCACAAGCTATATGAGCATCTCAGTTTCATAAGAGGCTTCACGTGATGCAACTTAGGGTTATGAAAATAACATGTGACTGCTTCATCTTTGGGAAATGATGTACCTCATAAAGCGGTTGGACAGAGCACGGTGTGCTGATCCTGTCAATGGGTGTGTCCCCTCCATGCACGGATGAGCTCTGCCAACAAAACCACAGATCGGTTATGACTTATGAGTCACACAGGAAAAGCATGTCTAAACTGAGCCCAGGATAATGCAGCATGCTGACTCGGCTGATTATTTGCATTTCAGGTGGGATTCGCAAGAAACCGGAACACACTTCCTTGTTCTACTTTATGCAGATATATTACTGACTGTGCAAAACAAAACAGTTATTACAGGTCAGAGGCTACATACATATATATACACACACACACACACATATGCGTGTGTGTGTACATGCACATGTATATGTATATCATACGTATAAGTGTGTGTATATATGGCAGATTTCTTTTATTAATACTTTTATTCAGCAAGGATGAATGAAATTGATCAAAAGTGACAGTTTATGAAATAAAAAAATTCTAATTTCCATTTAAAATATCCAGTATGCTGGTCTTTTCTATTTATCAACGAATCCTAATAAAAATTTATTTCCACAAATATTAAGAAGCACAACAGTTTTCAACAGAGTGAAATACTTAAATACAAAATTAATTAGATGATTTTCTGTTTTTATTTTGAAATGTTTTATTTATAATTAATATATAAGAATAAAAGTAATTGTATTCATGCAATTATAACAGCTTTAATAATAATAATAATAATACAATTACAACAAGAAGTGCTAATTTTGATTATCACAATTACCAAGCAGTGCTGAAACTAGTATTCATTTTAATAATATTAAAATGAATACTAGTTGCAACACTGCTTAGTAATCATAAACAACTAAATTCCACTTCACTAGCTGCATGTGCCTAGCAACATTCCTTAAGAAGTTCTGTCTCATCTCGACTTTGGGACACATCCCACTCTGCTATTTCACATTCAAATTATAATTTCCATTTAAAATATCCAGTATGCTGGTCTTTTCTATTTATCAACGAATCCTAATAAAAATGTATTTCCACAAATATTAAGCAGCACAACAGTTTTCAACAGAGTGAAATACTTAAATACAAAATTAATTTGATGATTTTCTGTTTTTATTTTGAAATGTTTTATTTATAAATAATATATAAGAATAAAAGTAATTGTATTCATGCAATTATAACAGCTTTAATAATAATAATAATAATACAATTACAACAAGAAGTGCTAATTTTGATTATCACAATTACCAAGCAGTGCTGAAACTAGTATTAATTTTAATAATATTAAAATGAATACTAGTTGCAACACTGCTTAGTAATCATAAACAACTAAATTCCACTTCACTAGCTGCATGTGCCTAGCAACATTCCTTAAGAAGTTCTGTCTCATCTCGACTTTGGGACACATCCCACTCTGCTATTTCACATTACTCTATGTTTCCTAATCACTGTTATGTGTAAAATAACATAAAACAGTTCAACCCATCCAAATATATCTTCTGTGTTAGCAAAAACTTCACCAGCTAACCTATTTGTACCGTCAAATACTGAATACTGTCATTCCACCCTGCTTTAAACACAAACAATTACTAATAAGAGCATGTCAGGCACAGCCTCATTAATAATCACGTTTACCACAGGTTAAGATTGTTTGGAGAGTCATAAAATCCCATCAGGTCATGTAATAAACAAGTATGAAAAGAATTTTGGCAGTTTTTACCTGACCAAGGTTCTGCATTGTCCCACGAATGTCATGCAGGACCCTCCTGAGCTGCATCTCTGTGCTGCCCATCACAGGGACAGGTGCAGGAGGCGTCTCAAAAGAGCAAGGGTAGGGGGGAGATGGACAGTATGGATGACTGTAAGGGGCACCAGGGTGATGAGGAGAACCGTTGTAGCCCAGTCTATAGGGGGCACTGTGGGATTGTGCGAGAGGGACGTGAGGTTGGTACGGGCTGCCATGCATGTTCAATGAGGGGCCGCAGGGAGCTCCCTGAGCAACATTATAAGGTGAATAGAATGGGTTGTAAGGTAAACTGTGAGGATGAGCATAATGCATATTGTGCTGGAGTGTAAACGGCGTCCCCTGTGGTGGAGTAAATATATTGCTCTTAAGTGGTTGAGGATAAGGTGAACTCTGCGTTTGTGAGAAAGGAGTGTGGTGGGGAACTCCGGTAGGGTACGAGGAGTTGTAGGCCACTCCGTGTTGGGGAGAGTAGAAGGACCCATGAGGAGGAGGAGGAGGGTGGGCCAGACCTGTAAATTGACTAAGGTTTGGGACGCTACATGTGCTCCAGTTTGGACCTTCACCCAAGGGCCTCTGGGGCCAGTCTGTAGGGACACTATAAAGCGAGCTGGATGAGAGAGTCAGATGCTGGGGTACATTGAGAAGATGTGGTGGCGTTCCCTTGTCCGTCTTTGATCCACCTGCTGGAGCAGATTTCAAGAGCTCAGACTGGCCATGATCTACTTCATCTGTTTCCATAATGGAATCCACTTCTTCTCGGACACTGAGATTCTCCTCATCGTAGCGGTATGAGTATGAGGGTGGGGTACAGTGCTTGACCGAACCCTTTCCAAGTTGGATTCGCATGGAGGTGACCACTCGAGCTGGGCTGAGCGGAGAGGTTGGGAGGGAGCTGGATCTCCTTAAAGGATTCCTCTCCAAGCTTTCCCTCAGCAAGTTCCTGTCCCTCACCCATACTCTGGCAGGACGCTCCTCATCCATAGAGGATGACCTCTGATGGGCTGTTTGGAGGTCCATTTGTCTTTGAGTCGTAGCGTGGCATTGCTCAAGGTCCAAAGTCTCTGGAAGATCTGAAGACTCTGGCCCAGAGGATAGACGTAAATCCTCAGAGAAGTCTAGATCGATGCCTAAACCAGGCTGGCATATGTTGCCTTCATGAGCTACATCCAAGTTGGAATCTATTGCAGGATCTACCATTGTACTCGAATCCACTTCTGGAGAGTCTGTGGTGGGTTCTTGCGCTGTAGTGAAATTGGACTCAACTATGGAAGCCCTATCATAATCAGGAGAAAGGAGCGGTCCATTGGGGCTAATATGGTCAGAGTTTGGATTGGGACTCTGGAGGCTGGTGATCTCAGGGAGTTCTCGGTTTGTTCCACTCTGGCTAAATGTGCCTCTGTTGGACTGAGGATGGGCTTCCTCACCCTGCAATCTCTCAAAGTTGGGGTACTCCAATGCTATGAGTGTGCTGACTTCTCCTGCATGCGATGTCACAGTGGTTTCGCTGTCACAGCTATCTGAGCTTTCTTGTACCTAATAAAAGTTCAAGAGCGAAGTTTCACTTCCATTATCTATTGAAGGACTGGTTCTTAGAAACATTGATGTTGAAAGTCACTTTTAATAGACACTTTGTATTTTACCACTTAGAACCCAGCAATTTATTCTTGTCCTCATTTATGTTTTGTAAATTCCCCTAAGAACACATATGCCACAATTTTAAGTTCTAGTGCACCTTAATTCATAATTTCAACATTTTCGATTTGGAGGGCTTTTCAGAGATACCAAATGCTGGATTTGGCCATGACAACGTCCACTACTTACTGTATATTCATATTCCTATGAAATATTCATATAGAACTTATAGAAGTCAATATTCTCACTCTCATTTTTTGTATTACCAGTAGCCCCGAATGCATGTTCATAAATAACTAGACAATATGAATGAGGTTTGGAACATCCATTTTTAACAAAATGTAGTTAAACCAATATTCAGAAAACCACACTTGATTACATGAAATGGAGGCACTGCTAATTTATTTGATTATTATTCATATAATTTTTATTTTACAAAATAGTTATATAAATAATAATAAGTAATTATTAAATAAATAAAAATTTAAATAAAAAAGACAATTTTCATATTGTAAAACATATATAAAAATATAAAGTTATTTTACGTTTTCATACTATTTGATATCAGTGCAAGCTAAATTCCAAAAATGTTTTTTTTTTTTTTTGTGGGTTCAAAAGGAGGATGACAATCTTTGTATTCATAGGCTGTAGAGAGTCCGGATAGTTCTGCCCACACTCACGCACCTTCAGGTGATTACCCGAACCGTCTGTGGATGGGTCCTCTGCAAACCCGCTGCTGTCAGACTGCTGGCTGGCAGTCCTCAAAAACCTCTCTGTAGAGAGACACAACGTGAACACCAAAACTGAGTGCGATTTCTCAAAATTCAAGCCAGTTATTATAATTCATGCTCATGAGTTTTAAGGCTTAGATCTCATCATTTAGATTGAGTGTGGTGAATATTGTAAATTACTGTCACCTATTTTTCTGTTTTCCTATCACTGTTTCAATGTAATTCTATAACTTACCTAAAGAAATGTTTCAAGTAAAGCTTTGGTGACATACCTTTGCATGGAACATAATTATGACTCAACTATTTTATGTTGTAATCTACATAATGGCACAAATGCTGTTGATAAAGAGCTGGAACATTCTTCTACATATCTGAATAGTGAACATCTACTGATTTCTACCACATGAGGGCAGGCTTGATACATACTTTATCTAAAACACATACTAAAGTCCCTTTCAGCTCTTTAAGGCTGGGCCATAAGGCAGCATGATAAAACACATCACAGTTATGTTGAGTGTTTAAATAAGACACGTCTTCCTCTGTGTTCTTAGAAAAAGTGTCTGTGTTTTTCTTTTGGGAATGACAACTGGATTTGATCACACGGTCATTGCATTCTCAAGAGGAATGAGTCTGACATTCCCAGCAAACCAAATCTCACAGATGTTGTAAATACCATAGTAAAACTAAGTGCAAAACCTGTTGCTAAGAAGTCTCTTTTACATGGCATTTGTTTTGAATGCTTCAAAATTGCATATAGCCTTTGACATGTATACAAATTCAGTTTCCTGGTAACGTGACTGATAAACGCAGTCAGTCCACACTCACCGCTTCCAGCTTGAGACGTGCCACCAGGACCAGGAAGAGCTTCATCCTCATTGCTCTGCAACTGCAAAGAAACAAACCATTAACATTTTGACTGATCACAACACAGCAGCATAAAATCACACTTGAGCATTACATAGGTTTTAAATACTCAAATTATGCAGCTCGTGAGCCATTGTTAGAAAATGCGCTATGACAAGAGGCCAGCATATAAAATGACCTGGTAAAAGTACTGGGTGGTTGGACAAACAGATAGTCACATCCCAAACTCACACTATTGGTCGAGCCAGTGTTACTATATCATGCCGTGTCGGGATGCTCAAACAAATAGAGCTATAAGAGACAATGTTACAGAGACATTATGAAACGAGTGGGTTCATTGTAATTGTCTTAGCTTTTTATAGGGATTTAATTTAAGTTGTCATCATTTACTCACCCTTATGTTGGTCCAAACCTATATGACTTACTATATGACTGCAGAACACTAAAAATACATATATTTTCAAGAACACTGGAGTCCATTGACATTAATTATATGTACAAAAAAAACAGACATTTATCAAAACATCATCTTTTATGCTCCACAGAAGAAAGCCAGTCATACAGGTTTGGAACGACATGAGGGTGAGTAAAACTTGATACACTTGAAAGCATGCAATGTTTCCTTAAAAAAAAAAAAAAAAAAAAAAAAAAAAAAAAAA